ATTTTCGGGGAAACTGGGTATTCAAAATAGGCACATTACAAAAATGGTAATCAATAAGCACACATTATTATTTTTTAAATTTAAGTCTACTGCCTTGAGGCAGTGGGTAGAAATCATGTTTTATTATTAAAAGCTTAAGTTCGACCCTGTGGTAAGGGCTAACAGCTGTTTTTAACAACATCAGTAAAGATATTTTTGTAGCATTATTGTTTGCACCTTCAGAGCTTGCTAACATTTGCAGAAGTAAGGATTTTTTTAAAAAAGTGGCTGAAAAGAATATTGAAGTCAAAAATGTGTGGTCCTAGTTACTGATAGTAACATTAATAGGCACTGATAATCTACATTTAAACTCCTACAGTTTGCTCACAGAAATAAAGCCGACAGAAGCCCTCTTGCACATATGAAATCTCCACCTTACTGTGGAAACATAATTGTTTACCATTCTGTGGTCTCTGAAAAATTCTTCCTTGCAGCTGGATTTAACGAAGTTAAATATCTCAGTGGGATTGCAGTTGTTTTACTTGGACACAGGATTGCTCTTCCACCGGGACCTTTTCTCTCTCCCATGACCCCTACGTTGTTAGCTGCTGTCAAGTCAATGTCAACTCGTCGTGACCCAGTGAATGGTTGCCCTGAACTGTGCTCAGTTCTTGATGCCTGATCCTTGCTAGGATGGCACCAGGGGCCACTGTTATTTTACCAACCCTTCACCCTGCCAGTCTTTCTCTTTCGTATTTTCTTTCAACCCGACTAAGCATGAGATTTTTTTCTCTAATTATCTGTCTGTTTGCCTGAAGTGTCCATAGCATGATGTCTGGTCTTGTCTTTTGTGGAAAGTTTAGTTTTGATTTCCTCAATATTGACTGATTAGTTTATCAGGCAGTCCCTAATATCTGCAGTATCCTTTGCCAGGTTTATTACTCAAAGGCATGTGGGTTACTCCCCTTGTCTTGTGCCTTTATTGTCCAATTTGAACAGCCATATTATGTTCTTGAAAATATCATGGTCTGAACAAATCAGATCTTGGTACACAAGGAAATTTTTCTATACTTAAAGAACTTGTTTAGGCCTTATAGAGCCATTTTTCCAACAGCATTTCATCATTTGGGTGCTTATAGTTTCATTGCTTATCCAAGCCAATTGAAGTTGTCAGCTATATATATATTTCCTCTCAGTCAAGGACGAAATTACTGATAATACCAGTTGTTAGAATCTTTCTCCTCTTTCATTAAAGTGCAGGCCTATTTTGAGACTATGGTCCGTGATCTTGATAAGCAGATAGTTCAGAACATTTTCATATACAATTGGTATCATAAACATAATAACAAATTTCACTAGGCATGATCCTTATATCTTTTATAAGCTATGAAATCCCATTTTTGAAGGTTGGGGAACCATTGAGAGCAGTCTGTGAATGGGACTATTGCCCTTTTCCATCTGAAGCTGTTGAAGTCGGTTGTCACTTCTCATTTCTTTATTTTCATGAAAGCTTCAGTAGGGAAACCTGATTTTCAGGCCATAGATACAAATGTGGAAGTCAAGGGATAGGCTCCAGAGAACTCTTAGACTAAAAAAATGAAAGCTATTGTTGGCTTTAAAAAGACAGGAGAAAGAGGCCCAGGAATTGAACCTCGGAATTGATATAGGGCAGTTTTTCTGTGTGCCACCATATATAACCACAAATAATGGTTGAAAACTAACCAAAGAGAGAAGCAACCTGGAATTAAGGAGAAACTTCCTAACAGTGAGGACAACTAACCAGTGGAATGCCTTGCCTTCAGAATTTGTGGGTACTTCACTGGATGTTTTTAAGAAAAGACTGAACAGCCATTTGTCCATAATGGTATAGGATCTCCTGCTCGAGCAGGGGGATCGATTAGAAAACCTCCAAGGTACTTTCTAACGCTGTTATTCTGTATTCTGTTGTATGTATGCTTCATTAACCAAAGTCTGAGTGGAATATGGAGCTAAGAGAAAGTTTTATGGGTATTCCTAGAGGATGCTCTTCTGACCATCTGTTTATGTAGTATATCCATATATTTGACGTGGTCCAATGAGATGCAGGAACCCAGAATCTGGTAGCTTGTGGTTAATAAAAAGCTTTGAGTTTAATACATTTTAGTTCCAGATGATAAAGAGTTTCTCTATTAGAGAAGTAGATTTGGGCATAGAGTGACTCTTAAGTAATTATGAAGCATACAGCTCAGATATTTATAATGATCATTGAGCTATCAAGTAGTATTATTTTTGAGACAGGTTAAGGACAACATTTATGTGCTTTAGTTATTTTATGAGACTGCTCACACATCAATGACCAATTATGGAAGTATATGTCGTGTCATATGTCATATGTCATGCACGCGCGTTTGCACATAATAAATTGGAAAGTGCAGAGCAGTAATTATTGAACCAAAGTAACTTAAATTAAACTGGGCAGACTAGGTGGCTCAAGTGGCTAAGACACTGAGCTTGTTGATCAGAAAGTCAGCAGTTTGAATCCCCAGTACAGGTCTCCTGCGTGAGCAGGGGGTTGGACTAGATGACCTTCAAGGTCCCTTCCAACTCTGTTACTGTTACTAAATGGTTACTTTTAATTAAACCGAAATACAGAATGCTGGGATCCATGATTCCTGTGAGAATGAAATTCATGGAAGTTGTAGCGGCTTCAGCATCACCATGCCTTCCAATTACACTTCCAAGAAAACCTATTGGTTGGGTGGCACATGGAAAGATGGGAGGGCCACATCTTTGCCCTCTTTCCTTCCTCCCTCTGACCCTTGCATCCAATCGAATGGAGGCTAGGTCTGACAGGCGAGTGGCTGCTTTGAAACCAAGACTAAAATTTGAAATCTCTTAATGGCAGTTGGTGGTGAGGGAAGGATGAGGGAGAGACTCAGATGCCTGCCGGCAAGGTAGGTCTAGCTGGGGGTCACTGGTAGTGGGTGGATGAACCCTCTTCCCCCTGGGGAAGGGGGCACTTGAGGACATATCAGGATGAGGAGCAGGGTACAATTTTCCTTATGGTCCATGACTCCCTTTGTTCCCCTTCTTCCCAGCAAAATGGCAGGCAGTTCCGCGGGTCAGCCAAAGAGGAGTGATTTCTGATGCTCCTTGCCAGCTTCCCACAAACTCAGTCAGTGGGGAAGCTGGTAGGAAGTCATTCTGCTGCTCTGTTTAGTAAGGAAATATCTCTGAAACGATGACCCAATAGATGACTGGTGGCTTCTGTATGTATGTATAGCTCAGATTATAATTCTCTTAGTAATATATGATATGGCAAATTCTTACAAAGGCAACTAACTGCTGATCATATGTGAGTGTCTACAGGAGTGCTTTTTGTATTTTTGAATATAAAGAATAGAAGGTCTAGTATGAAAAATAATGTCTCCTGAAGGAGAGAAAATGGATAAGATTATAGGAAAACTCCCAATAATTGAATATCTTGGCTTGTGGAGCTCATATTCAGCTTTCCTAGAAAAGCTGTCCACTGTCTTTCATATATATTGACCTACAGCCCCATAATTCTGAACTACGATCAGATGCTAAGGGAATTGGTGTCTAATTTAACTAGAGAATGCCAGGTTATCAGAGTCTGAATGAGACACATTATCAACTTGGGTGTCCTCCTGGACACACGGCTGTCTTTAGAAGAGCATATGACGGCCATGGCCAGGGGGGCTTTTTATCAGGTTCGCCTGATATGCCAGTTGCGCCCCTTTCTGGATCAGGACTCCTTATTCACAGTCACCCATGCCTTCGTCACGTCTCGCCTGGACTACTTCAATGCCCTCTACATGGGGCTCCCCTTGAGGAGCACCTGGAGGCTCCAACTGGTCCAGAATACGGCCACACGGGTGATTATGGGAGCGATGTGGCGCTCCCATGTAACACCTCTCCTGTGCGAGCTGCACTGGCTCCCGGTGGTCTTCCGGGTGCGCTTTAAGGTGTTGGTTCTCATCTTTAAAGCACTCCATGGCTTAGGGCCAGGGTACTTACGAGACTGCCTGATGCTATCGATAACCTCCCACCGGCCAATACGCTGTCACAGAGAGGGCCTCCTCAGGATGCCGTCGGTCAAGCAATGTCAGCTGGCGGCCCCCAGGGGGAGAGCCTTCTCTGTGGGGGCACCCGCCCTGTGGAATGAGCTACCTCCTGGAATACGACTGATCCCGGACCTCTGGACCTTCCGTAAGGCCCTGAAGATTTATTTATTCCAGCAAGCCGGCCTAGCCTAAATGGTTTTTAATGGGATTTTAAAATTTTATAGATTTGGGGTTTTAAATTGGGAGGCTGATTGATTTAATCTCTTTTAATTATCTTAACTTTTGTATTGTATGTATTTTAATTTTGGCTGTTCACCGCCCTGAGTCCCTTCTGGGAGAAGGGCGGTATACAAATTAAATTAATAATAATAAAAATAATAAAATAGCCAAATATGACATTGGTGTACTTTGGACTTTAAAAGCTGCAAAGATAATTTAATCATTAATTATCATACCATCAAAAGGAATCCTAACAGAGTGATATGAATCATTACACTGTCAAAATAATATTACTTGGTGTTTTTTTTTAAATCAAGTAGTGCCTTCCAAGGAAACATGGATTTCATTTGACTAAATTGTAGCCCATTTTTAAAATATTTTTTCTCCTGTGGCAGAATTTTAGTAGAGAAAATGTTAGTAAATGTTAGTAGAGTAAATGTTAAGCTACTAGTACACACAGTATTAAATATAAGATAGTTTGCATTATTTCTCATATTAAGTGTACCACATCACAATGTTTCCACATCACATTGATATATCATTGTGCAATACTTAACAGATTTTCTTCAAAACTAAATATAGGAATTTGGGGGGGAAATCCTGTTTTTAGTTGAAAATAAGAAATTTTAACAGCTTCATTTTGCTCTGACAATAAGTTTAAACATATTGTAGATCAGTATTAATTTAATATCAAAATATATTTCTAAGTCTTATCTTTTTTTCTCCTTCTCCTTGCAGGGGATTTGGAAAACAAGGGTTTCAATGCCAAGGTAAGATACAAATGGTTTTATAATGGTTTCTATTTCTGTTTTAATAATTAAATCTAGGTAATGTGTGAACCATATCTCAAGAAGGAATTAAGCATGTTAAAAGGAGGATATTAAATTATCTAAAAGGATGTGTATTGTTTAATCATTTATCTCATGAACTGTGAATCATGCACAAAAGAGTTTCATTTCAGCAGAGTTTCCTAAAATTAAATGTCATGTAATCTGCATATAGAGAACTCTTTAATTTTTCATGAAAAGAATCTTTGTGGTTTATTTTGGTAGAGAACATTTCTCTTGTCGGGAGCTGCTGTCTCTGTGTGGGTGTTTTGAAAAGTGGTTTCACTCTCTGTTGGGTTTCCTTTAATACTCCCTTCTACCTTTTCCCTCCGTTATTAATCGGCATCAGTTTTAGATTCATCTGGACCTTTGGTCATTGATTTATAGTTTGTTTATTTTGTGGCATAGTGTAAGAGAAAATAAACTATTTCAAAGCAGTAGTCATTGCTTGCAGCGAAGTCTTTTAAATCTTGGGATGGAGAAGGAATTTGTTTCTGTAAACTGCATTATTAACAGTAACACGAGTCATATTATGTACTCAACAAAGGTGAAGCATATGCTTTGAATATGAATATAAGAACTGTGCTGCCACACATCAGACTATAAATTCATCTACTCCAGTATGATCTATGCCAGACCACAGTAGCCCTCAAAGGACTTGGACAGAAGACTTACCTCATTTTCTCTTGCCTGGAGATTTTATGGATCAAAACTAGAAATTTGAAATATGTGCCTTGGCCTCTTTCCTGATGCCTGTAATTTTATCATGGGTATCATTTCCCTGAGATGGCTATGGAGCATTAATGTACTATTAATATCTCTAAGCAATATTCTTCCTGTTTATACTTTAATATTGTTATTGAATGTTGATTGTATAAGTTAGTGTTTTACCATGGAAACCATTTGTATTAGCTAGATGAATGAAGCAGCATTTAGTCTGATAATTTCATCCTGTCAGAGAGCAACTGATGGTAGCAGCTGAAAATTGCTACGCGATACCTACAAGATTTTCTTTTAAAGAAACCCTTGCCCTGTGATTGTCTGATCTGATTATCAACTAGATAAACATTGTTGGCATGAACCCTTCCTGGGGTCATAACTACCACACCACAAACCTATATTTAACGGTTTTGAAATTTGAGCCAGGAGATTTGAACTCTGATTTTAAAGAGATACTGAAAAGGCAAAGAACATTAAATTACAGTCTCTTATTACAGCTGATAGCTAGCAATATATTGTTGAATCTTGTCACACTAACAAAGGAGATGGTTTTCCTTGTATTAAATGTTCAGAAGTTAGAGAAATGTGGTGCCACTTTGTGAGAACTGGAATGTTCCCAGTTCAAATAGTTCCTTTGCAGCCTTAAATAACCTCCTGGTCATATTACCATCTCTGAAAAGGAGATACGGGTAGTCCTCGACTTAAAACATTCATTTAGTGACTGTTCAAAGTTACAAAGGCACTGAAAAAGTGACTTATGAGTCATGTATAAGTTTTTCACACTTACGACCATTGTAGCCTCTCCATGGTCATGTAATTAAAATTCATTTAGTGACCATTCAAAGTTTCAACAGTGCTGAAAAAAGTGACTTATGACCATTGTTCACACTTACAACCATTGCAGCATTCCCATGGTCAGTTCATCAAAATTCAGATGCTTGGCACTGACTCAGATTTATGAAGGTTGCATTATCCCAAGGTCATGTGATCACCTTTTGCGACCATCTGACAAGCAAAGTCAATAGGGAAGCCAGATTCATGTAACGATGTATCACTAACTTAACTGCAGTGATTGTTGTGGCCCGTCAGTGGCCTGTGCGGATTGTAGCTGACACTGACAGCGAGGAGGCTGGTGTGGTGTTGCGCCAGCAGCCTGTGCAGCTGGCACTCGAGTTAGACAATGAGGCTGGAGAAGATGTGGTGCCAGAGGCAGGGATTCAGCCAGGGCCTTCAGAACCTCCAGAAGCTCCTTTAAGTGAAGAGGACGAAGAGGAGGAGCCTCTTCTCGATGCACAGGCACGCAGAGCAGCCAAAAGGCAGGAGTGGCTCTTCAGGAGGAGGTTTCCTCGAGAGTAAGGCTTGGGGCTAATTGACCACTCCCTTAGCCTATTTAAGGAGGAACGCCGACTGAAGTAATTTGTAGGGAACAACTTTAGTTCACTCTACTTCGCATCTGGATTCTCTGCAAATTGCTTCTGGGTTTTTTGCCAACCTTAATAAGATTGTGATTACTTTATCTTTTGTTTCTTGTAGGCTGTTAAGAAAGTTTATTAACAGCCTTTGTTTTGAAAAACACTGAGTTATTTTAGTAAATTAAGTTTTGTACAAACTTTGTGTGTGCTGTATTCTTTGGGGTCCGTAGCTGGGGCAGAACAGTGATTCACTTAACAACTGTGGAAAGAAAGGTTGTAAAATGGAGCAAAATTCATTTAACAATTGTCTTGTTTAGCAACAGAAATTTTGGGCTCAATTGTCATAAGTCGAGGTCTACTATACATTCTTTTTGGAACAGTTTGTCAGAATTGGTATGAATTCATTTCAAGTGCTAGGTTTGTTCTGAGTACAGATATTCATGATCCCTTAGAGAGATAATGTTCTTTAGTAGTTCAGCTATTGAATTAGGAGCAGGAAGATTCAAGTTTTGATCCACCTCTAACCATAGAGACTCACTGGTTCTCTTTGAGCTAGTTACACTTTCTCAGTTCGGTGTTGTTATTGTGGTAAGAAAAAATGATATGTATGTGCACGTGTATGCAAGTATGCCTCTTGAGCACGTTGAATGAAACATGGGATATAAATTTAATAAATCAAATAAGTAAAATGAGGGAGGTTCTTCCACACAAACTTTCTAATGAAAGCATGCAATTGGGCACGTTTATTCATTCATTATCATGCACTTCAGCCACTTTGAACATTTGGATTGTAAATATTAAATTTGTAAACATGGCCTATACTCTGGAAGCATCTGATCTCAAACACAGGAAACAACTCCATTGGAATCTGTGCTTCAGGAAGCTATTGGCGAAATATAAACAAACATCCAGCATAAAAACCAAGCTACCATAGGGATTTATTGTTTTTATACTTCCTCCTTTGTCTGCTCCTACTAGTTCTGTATTAACTTATTTGAATTAGGGCTGGGATATTTTTCTGAGACCGTCAGATGTGTTGGAGAATTTACAGAAGTCTAAGGCCAATTTAGTCAACAGCTGTGTTCAATTTGAGGCTGTATTCTGGTGAAGGGATTGACAACAAATGTTCTAGTTTTGCATCTCATAGTGTCCCTTGTCTCAAGATTTTCTATTCCCTCCCCCCCCATCAACACAGTCCTCTTTCTGGAACAGTTTTTGACAATGTGACGGAGTTTTTGTGATAGGTTGGTCTTTAAATCTCCTGATTCTCTTAGCAAGTTTTGGCATTCAAGATATCTGGAGGGCCATTAAGTAGAAAAATGGTGCTAGAAGCTGTAATACTAGCATTCTAAACTTGGATAACCAAGTTATCCAAGGAAATGCTTAATTTAATTATACAACTGGCAATTGACTAAATTGCTTTGGCAATTGGTTGCCCCTCTTTCAGTGATATACAACTGAAATACGAACATACTGTCAATCTTACACTTATGTGCAACTTTCCAATGCTTTATTTTCAATAACCTACTTTTGCATGAACTATTTTATTGATACCACTGTCAATTTTGGGAAGGTATATTAAACATATAGTTTAAAATGTTGGTGGTTTGATTTACTGTATGTCATGCATTCTTTATTGGATATATTTAACTAACGTGCACTGGGGAAGGGAATAAAGTCATTATAGGTGATTTGTGTATTTAGTTAGAAGGAATGTTATGGATGTCTTGGCTTGGAATCTAAATTATAAGCAAAACTCTGCTAATGGGATATTTCCTTTGCAAGTAGAGAAGAGTGGTTTATTTATGAATACTCTTCCTGTATTGTTAGAGTATCTTCAGAAAAGGATTTTATGTTCTAACTGAGTCTTGCTGTGAATGTAAGGAATTCTTTTATTTATAAAACAGCAACAAGGATCCAGACTCTTCAGTGTAATTTTCCCCATAAACGGTGCCATTTCTTGCCATATTTAGGCAGCTCCAAGAGATTTCCAAGCAAAAGTAAATATTTTCAAATGAAAATCCTATTTATTGAAATCACACCAGCCATTTAAAGAGTACAAGTCAAAAGCAATTCAGTAGTGATTATGTGGCACTGACTGTTAATGAGAGAGAAGCGGTGGGGGGGAGATATGTGGCCTGATAAACAGAGAAATTAAATTGAATGCATGGAAGATTGTCCATGAAAAATCTAGCCATCCTATCCTTCTCAGTCCAACTTTGCTTGTAGCTGAAAAACTACTGGTTTTCATTACAGTGCTGTTATAGTGTAATAATTACTGACAAGTTTTTTCCTTGTTGTCAAACTGTCCAGAAGGTTTCCTTCTTGGAAACATACATAGACTTGCAGCTGTAGCGAAGGCAGCATGAAATGGTAAGATGAGGTCAGTGTGAGGTGATATTACTTGAAATAGCAACAAGCAAGCGATAGTTGACTTATAAAACCAAGCATATCAAACATTTATCCAGCACTTACAGTGTCCAAAGCATTTCAGTTATATTATTTCTGTAACCTTTACAGCGGTGAGGTAAGTCATCATTTGCTATCATAGAGATAGAGGAATAAGGACTGAAAGAGAAATTGCGTAAAATGTATGGCAAGAGCTATAAAAAGAATGTCCACAGTACTTGAAGACCAGAATGGACAAGCTAGCATTTTCTAAAATGTTTGGGACTACAAACCCAGACAGTGCATTGTGGGAATTGTAGTCCAATAGATTTGGAAGACATTGTGCATGTTGCTGATTCCTATGGCAGCGCCTTTGTAATTTGTAAATGTAAAAATGCCTTGGGTGGAAGGGTGATCAATCAATTTTTCCTAGAGAAAATAGAATTTTGTTACTGTACTTTGCTACTCAGGACAGAGAAAAAAAATGATTTGAAGATACTTTTAGAAATAGAATTTAAGTACAGTTTTCATGCTCCCTATACATTCTGTAAACATTGTGAGAAATTTAGAAGTAGGTGTTAAATAATTCAGAGTTATTGAAGCTGTGAATAATCTTAGCCCTCTCCTTGACCCAGAGCAGAGTTTCAAGGAACTGATCCATTCACCAACTCTTCTTTTCGTCACAGCTGCTGAAACTGTTTTTGCATCGTCAATCCCAATAATATGTTCTGTTTATCAATGATTTTCCTCATAATGATTTGAGAAGTAAATATCTGCTTTGGTATTACAGAATGTGATCAAATCATTACTCCCAAGTTTTAAATGAAATTTAATCTTTAAAATAATCAGTAATTTAAAAAAAGAAGAATTATAATTCTGAGAAAGGAGGACATGTGTATTTTCTCCGAAAGAGTAGTTAAATAAAATTTACCTAATGGCGATTTAAGTGATGAAAATTACATCTTTCCCAAGAGAGCTTTAAATCAAATCTGTGCGGTGGCTACATAATTTCCTTGCTTATTTTGAGATCTGTTGTCCAATGAGACCTCTGTTATTTGGCTATTTAAGACAGGGTTATTTTCCATCTCTACTTCTATTTGGAAAATGGAGGTGGTAAAAGGGCTGAGGCTGCACAAAGGGCAGTTGAGCAAGAAAGAGCAGCATATATCAGCATGTCTTGATGGTGTCAGAATGGGATAGCTACCCTAGATGCATATTAAAATGCTAAACCAGGGAGCCTGGTTTAGCTCAACAGACAGAAGCACTGTAATTGAACACCAAATGTCTGCAATTAAAGTAAGATCGAATCTCGCCAAGCTCAAGATTGACTCAGCCTTCTATCCTTTCTAAGGTAGGTAAATTGAGGACCCAGTTTGTGGGGGCAATAAGCTGACTTTGTAAAAATATACGAAAGTATGAAGGCTATTGCTTAACGCACTGTAAGCCACCCTGAGTCTCCGGAGAAGGGCGGCATATAAATCAAATTTTTTTTTAAAAAAAGAGGGAAATTGAAATTGGCCCTGTGTGCTGTAGGACTACTACTGGGCTGCAAAATGCTTCTTCCCCTTCTTCTTTTTTCTTTCATATGTTATTTGTATTAACAGCCAGCCTATAGATCAGTGGTGGGTTGCCCCCGGTTCGCACCGGTTCTATAGAACCGGTAGTAAAACCGGCAGGAGGCTCCACCCACCGACCCCAACATCATCAGAACGCTTCTGCGCATGTGCAGAAGCTCCTTCAGCAAATATAAATTTGATACAAAATAGTTTGTCATGATAGCGACTGCCTGAGGGCTCCTGGATTGGAGCTGAAAGGCGAAAGGGAAGCAGTATGCTCCCTCCCATATTGGGGTAGACCAGGTGCTTCAAGAAAGCAAGAAAAAACGCTATAGTCAAGAACCAGCCATTTACAACTTAGGGCAGTGATGGCAAACCTTTTTGCCATCACGTGCCAAAAGCGGGGGGAGCGCAGGAGGGCGTCGTGTGTGCATGTGCCCACACTCATAATGCAATGCCCCCCATGTGCCCCACCCTGCAATGGCCTGCCCCCGGTGCATGCATGCGTGAACCCCCCACGCATGCGTGCATGACCCTCCTGCGCCCCGTTTTGGGCCTAAGAGGCCTCCCTGAAGCCTCCGGAGGCCAGAAACAGCCCATTTCTGGACTTCCAGAAGGCCCAATTTTCACCCCTTCAGAGCCTCCATGTGAGCCCTGTACTTACCCGGCATCCAAAATGTGCCATGTGAAGACTCCGGGGGGGGGGGGGGGTGTGGGCCTGGCCAGCCCAAAATCAGCTGGCCGGCGCGCACACATGCACAGTGAAAGAGACCTAGGGCAACAGCTTATGTGCCCACAGAGATGGCTTTGTGTGCCACCTGTGGCACACATGCATAGGTTCGCCATCCCGGGCTTAGGGTGTCCTCTGATCTGTTTCGGCCTTTAGATCTTGGCCATAACTCTGTTTTTTGATTCTCTCACAATAAGACATTTTTTGTGGCTTCTTATTTTCAGTTATCTATCTATCTATCTATCTATCTATCTATCTATCTATCTATCTATCTATCATTAAGCATTTATGTTTTGCATTACACTATATCTTGGCAAAACCCTAGCAGCCTTTTACCCCATGTAAAACACTGACATTTATGTCTGCTTGCTGTTAGGAATTTTGATATTCTGGAAGCTAAATTTACTTAAGCAACCCTTTTGGCCTTGCACTGCATAGTTTAACCCACATCTTGACAGCTTATTTTGCAGATCAAACAGGAGAACAAAGTGATTATGTGATTAATGACATGTATTTAAGTACAAATTATATGAAGCATGACAAAGAAATTACTGGGAATTAAATAAAATTAAATGTGTATTCAGTCTTTTTCATGAAAAGAACATGAATACTTTGTATGCTATAAAAATAAATTAATAATAGGCATGGTGTTTTGCTTCCTTTTACTGTATATTTTTATATATACACTTTTATTTCTCTTGGTTTCATTTTGGAGGAGAACAGTGGAATTCATTGGAGAATTGAGAGGCATTCATAGTATTAGCTTCTCTGCCTCAAACCTAACCAGGAGTATTAATACAATAATGGCTGGAGAACTGTTCAACTTGAATTGCTATGATTTACAATATATTAAAAATATTCTTGGATATATTTGAGTGGCTGAGAAGAAGGTTTATATATTTTTTTTTAAGTAGTGCCAGGAGAACTGGAATAAATGTCAAATACAAAGTGAAAGAGTGCGTTTGTTTGCTTTAGAGAGGGTTTACAGACATTCCCTTAAAGGCTCATCAGTGATTTTTTCAAACTGAATAGAGGTTCATTTTGAGCAGAGCAGGTGGTGCTGTCAAAGTTTTGTCCCAGTGTCTGGAGGATGAAGAGGTCTAGACAGGGAACAACAGGCTGAACCTTAGCAAGACCAGGTGTCTACGGATTTGTGGCCCCTCTGATCCCAGAACTGGCGGTTATTCACCATTGGCTTTAGGGTGGGGGTTGCATTTCCCAACTCGTAACTTGTATGCAATTTGGTGTTTTCCTGAACTTACAGCTTTTGCTTGAGGAGCAAGTGGCAACTGGAAACCCTTTGCACAGCTTATGCGCCACTTGCAGTTTCTAGATTGGGAGAGCCTACTCCTGAGCATGCCTATACATGCCATTGTCACTTCCTCCTGGATCTTGCAATATGCTCTTCATGGGGCTGCCCTTGAAGACCATCCAGAATCTGTAATTGGTCTAGAATGCAATGGAGCCTCTGGTAATTGGGCATACTTTGGTATGCCTGTATAACACCAGCAGTGGACAATAGTTATCTTAATTTATTTAGAAAGTCATATTACTGTTTTTCAGGAAGGGGAGAAAACTTTCAAAACAAATACCATTTTTGCCAGCTGCATTTGTTTCCATTAGACTTCTGGATTCAATTTGAGATGCTCATTATCACCTAATGATTTTTTCACGGTACATGGCCGGTTATCTGCAACACTTCCTATGTCTGCCTTCTTTAGAGAGCTAGATCTTAGCAAAAATTGTCTGAAGTAGACTAATTTGAGCCTGATCACGTGTTCCTCAAGTGAGAACTCTGGGTTGATCTGTTTGATGTTCCATTCATTTGTTTTTTCACCGTCCACAATATTTTCAGGAGTTTTCTCCAATTCCAAAGTTCAAAAGGGTTGAACCTTTGCTTCCATTCAGTGCCACAGGGAATATCGTGTCTTGCATGATTCTAATCTTGGTAGGCACCACATTTCCATATCTTTTCCAAGGCCTTCTTGGCTGATCTACCAAGGGCTGGTCTGCAGCATATTTCTTGATTGTTTGTTCCTTTACTAGTAGTACTACTAGTGTTGCTGATTGATCCTAAAAGGCAGAAGTTATCTATTACTTCTATATTTTCAGTGTTCTGAAGCTGGTTGTTCTACCTATTGTCATCAGTTTGATCTTCTTTTTATTTAATTTTAGTCCCATATTTTTACTGTGCTTCTTAACATTTACTACTAGGGCTTACAGTTGCTTTGCATTATTTGTTATCACAGTAGCATCAGTAACATAGTGGAGGTTATTGGTGTTTCTCTCTCCAGTTTTAAAACCACACACATCTTCTTCCAATCAAACTTCCCTTAAGATATTTTTGCCATACAGGTTGATAAAACAAAAGGAGAGAATACAGCCTTCTGTCACTCCTTTTCAACCTGGAGCCAGTCTCTTTCACCATATTGTGCCTGTGAGTTTCTCCACCTCTTTTTACCAGTAATATAGTCGATTTGATTTCTACATACAGGTGAGCCTCAACTTCCAACAGTTCATTTAGTGACTGTTCAAAATTACAATGGCACTGGAAAAAGTGTCTTATGACTGTTTTTCATACTTATGACCATTGCAGCATCCTCATGGTCATGATCAAAATTCAGACTCTTGGTAACTGACTCCTATTTATGATGATTTTGGTGTCCTGGGATCATGTGATCCTCTTTTGTGACCTTCTGACAAGCAAACTCAATGGTGAAGCCAAATTCACTTAACAACTGCAGTCATTCACTTAGCAACTTGGCAAGAAAGATCGTAAAATGGGTCAAAATTCACTTAACAACTGTCTCACTCAGCAACATACATTCTGGGCTCAATTGTGGCTGTAATGCTACCTGTATTCCTTCTGGTGATGTCCATCTATAGAGAGATTGTTTTGGTTGCTTGAAGATGGTGTTAGCCATGAACAAACCATTGGATAAATTGATCTCCTGCTTCTTTTTGGATTCCTAAGCCATACACTCCAACTAGATTTTCCTCTTTCATTTCTCCAACTATGGTATCCCTGACTCCAATCACAAGCAGCACCTTTTGCTCGCATTGTTCCCTCGATTTCAAATTAATCACAATCATGAAACACACCAATCTACTCTTTTTCTGCATCAGTGGTTGGAGCACAAAGGTGAATGATCGTCATATTAAAGGGCTGTCCATGAAGTTTAGTGATATTGTTTGGTCGCTGATTGCATTGTAGCCAAGTACTGTCCTTGCTGTAACCTTCCTACCTACGACAGCAATGCTGACCCTTCTTTGCTTTTCCTGTCCTGAGTAATAAACAATGTGATCTTCTGACCGAAATTGTACAGTCTCAATCTGATCCAATTTGCTGATGCTGAAGATGTCAATTTGCAGTCGTTTCGTTTCATCTGTGTTGAGCTTTCCTGTTGCTGATGTTTCTTACATTTCATGTTCCTATCATCTTTACAGCTTCAGATTTTCTTTTCCTGTATGGCAACATTAGCAACTAGACATCCTGAAAGTTTTAAATCTAGCCACTTTGTAAACACCATTTGTATTCTGATAGATCCTCAGGTCTTCCTCAATAACATGCTGAGCGCCACCTGACCTGAGGGACCCATCATCTGGCACTATCTCGTCCCATCATTTTATATTTTCTATTCATGTTTTCTTGGTTAAAAACACAGGAGTAGTTTACCATTGCCTTTTCCTGCACTGTACGAATTGATGGTTTTTCAGAATTACTAAAATGGCTATCTGCCTCCAGCATTTTTCTATAACACTGCTGGCCAATATAAGCGCCTGCTTGTTTAGGGTGGTCTTCATGCCTCAGGTGACCTTGCTGGGAAAATGTACTCTGGACATACAACTTTCAACATTCTTTGCTCATTCCTCCCAGGATCACACCCCAACCCCTGCCTTGATGAGGCAGCACAACAGGACTTGCAGTTCGTGTGTGTGTGTGAGAGAGAGTGAGGGAGAGGGGGGAGGGGGAGAGAGAGAGAGTGAGGAAGAGGGGGGAGAGAGTGGGAGAGAGAGAGAGAGAGAGAGCACGAGCAAGGGACCGCCTTTAGGAAATAAAGAAGAACCTGAAGAAGCTTCTTCGATGAGAAGCAAAATGTCTTCAAAGAAAAAAACAAAAAGTCCAGTTGCCTCTTGCAAAACCACATTTATTTATTTATCTATCTATCTATCTATCTATCTATCTATCTATCTATCTATCTATCTATCTATCTATCTATTTATTTATTTTGTCGCATTTGTATGCCGCCCAACTCCCAAGGGACTTTGGGACAACCATGAACTGGATGACAGAATCTCCATAGACATTTAGCCTTTAGGAAAGCTTTGGTTTCTCCCCCAAGAGTTAGATCAGGATGAGAGAAGATCCCTGTCTTGGGAAATGGAATGTGCATTTGATGGACTCATACAAACGCTGCTTGTATGTCAGTGTTTGCTTTGTTCTTAATATCAGAGGTTTTAATTATAATTTGGGTTTTCCTTCGGCTGTACTGGTATACATCGTGATCCCATGAATTGGGTGGCTGTATAAATTTTAGAAATATATAGAACATAGAACAAAGAATAATAGGGTTAGAAGGGACTTTGGAGGACTTCTAGTTCAACTCCCTGCACATGCTTGAGGGTCTTTATCCTGGGCCCATAGTTTGTAGTAGAGGTGGGGAACTTTACTCTGCTGGCTCAAGAATTCTGGGAGTTGAAGTCCACAGGTCATAAAAGGACCATAGTCCCCACCCCTGGTCTATAGCATTATATTAGACAGCAAGGTCAATTTTTACTGAAGTTTCTAATACACAGTTTGTATCTCTCCCAATTTTATGATATTTATCAACTGTACTTCTTCAGGTTAGTAAGCAGTCCTAGAGAAGACTTATTAATTTTACTGATACCCCCCCCTCTCTCTCTCTCTCTCTGTGTGTGTGTGTGTGTGTGTGTGTGTGTGTACGTACACACATATACTGGATTTCTTATTCCATTGTATTAATCAAGGGCTAGAACATTTTCATGCCTGAGTGCTAAATATTGTTTTATAGACCATATAGTTTAGGGAATTTTTGTATAACTCTGTTAATGAGTAATAGAAACTGCTTTATTTTGTTAGGTTTGCAATAGCAGCAACCATTGGCTATATACTAATGAAAAGTTAATTATGTTTGAATTGTAGACTCTTATCTACAATGTTATGCAAATGGACATTCCTTGAACAAATACAGGACTCTTTGGTGAGCCCATGAACCTAGCTTGTTGGTTGCACTGAGTGGCTTCAAAATAGCATTCTCTTCATTACTTGGTGTTTGGCTTTAATTTCTAGTCTGATGTCTACAATAGTGGCACATTCATGCTCCTTTTGTGAAGAATCAAAGAATTAAAGTGATTCAGCTTGCAGCAATGCCCAAACAAAGATGTAAAATTCAAGGAAGTTTGAAAAAAACCCATTGTTTTAAAGGGTAAGAGTCAAATATATAGAGTTCTTCTCTTTTATAAAGCAACAGTGGTGTTATATTAGTAAAGGGTGTTAGTACAATTTGGCTTGTTGATAAGCTAATGTTTATAACACTGACAGGGATTGTTTTACAGTCAATTAGGAAGATGTTGCTATGACTGTTTAAAAATAGTTTAAATTATTGCTACAGGTGGAGCTGCGTATACCAAGGGATGTAGTAACCCTTCACCTTTGCCAGATCAGGAAGAACAGGCAGGTGCAGAAACAGTCATGAAAAGAGGAACGAACAGGAAGTTAGGTATCTTGAACTTTGTCCTCCACTGTACCTGAATACATAGATTGTCTCTGGTTTGTTGTGAGGTGAGCATACCTTTGCTGGATATATACATTACTTATGGTTTACATTAAGTCCGGTGGTAGAGATACACCCAAATTGTAGAGATCATGTTTGAAACTGAATAGTGCCCAGTTAAAGCTTTTATTGCTTTGTTGAAGACGGAATGCAGTGTTATTAATTTCCCCACCAAATTATATTTGAGGGAAATTTAGATCTGGGGTGATTATCACAAGACCTCTCTGAGCTAATGTAACCATAGGTGCCTCCTTTTGCACACAGACGTCCACCTGCCCTCTTAAACTCAATATTCTTTTGTTTAAATAGCAGCAATAAATGGGATACTGCCATTCTGCAACCAAAGTGCCAGGATTAATTTATTTATTGTACTTAGAAAATAAACTGGTGAATAGCAATAACTCATGATTTTATTTGGAAGTGCACCATCGACACAGACAGAAAGAAGAGATAAACTGACTCAAGAAAGGAATAGTTTACTTTCTGGTTACTTGGAATTTTGTGACTGGTCTTGACCACAATTTTTAGATGGCGATTATATTGCAAAAACATGGGGATATGTTCTCAAGTGTTCAAATGAGCTTCCTGTGTTTCTTCCTGAACAATTAGGGACCTCTGAAAAGACCATAGCTGGCATCATACAACACAAAAAGCAGATGCCACATATTGTGCCTAGCTTATAGTTTATTGAATAAACATTGACTGACTTCATGAAACCCAACCCAACCCAACCCTATTGTAAGTGTTTGAACTTACTTTATTATATGGTATATGTCTGTGGAATTATTTTATTTCAGCATAGACACTGCCCATTTCTCCAGAACAATACCCCCTTCACCCCCAATATCTGTATGCTTCTCTGCAATCCTATCCTGTTTCCCCGAAAATAAGACCCAACCAGAAAATTAAGTCCTAGCATGATTTTTCAGGATGCTTGCAATATAAACCTTACCCCCAAAATAAGCCCCAGTTAAGATTGTCAGCCAGATGGGTGCATTTAGTACCGTATTTCCCCCAAAATAAGACCTAATCAGAAAATAAGCCCTAATGCATCTTTTGAAGCAAAAATTAATATAAGACCCGGTCTTATTTTCGGGGAAACACGATATTTAAAATGTCTTTGAAAATTGGTTTTGTCTCCAAGCCATGGATTTTATGTTAGTTGGAATGTTTGTTCTTCTGGACATTGTTCTTTTCTTTTTTTGGTTCTGGCTGTTTCTAATGTCCTGCACTGCCTATAGAGTTGGATGGCTTTCTAAATGTGATTAAATAAATGAAAAATGTGCCATGAACTTGATGGACACAGTCGTAACTTTAGAAACCAGTCCCCATTGTAGCAGTTCAATTTTTGTCTCTTTTAAGTTTTTAAAATATTTTTGATATTTTGGTAATGTGGGTAGTTCTCATCTTATGACCACAATTGAGGCCCAAATTTCCATTGCTAAGCAAAACAGTTGAGTGATGTTTATTTATTTATTTATTTTATTTATTTATTGGTTTGATTTATATGCCGCCATTTTCCGGAGACTCAGGGCAGCTTACAATGCGTTAAGCAATAGCCTTCATACTTTTGTATATACCCGTTTAATAGGGCTTTTGCCCCCCCCCCGGCGGTGTTCTTTTTTATACAAAGTCAGCTTATTGCCCCCACAAACCGGGTCCTCATTTTACCTACCTCGAAAGGATGGAAGGCTGAGTCAACCTTGAGCCTGGTGAGATTTGAACTTGCAGTAATTGCAGGCAGCTGGTGTTACTTAACAGTGCTTTAGTCTGCTGCACCACCAAAGCTCTTGATGTTTGCTCCGTTTTACGATCTTTCTTCCCATAATTATTAAGTGAATTCCTCTAGCTGTTCAGTGAATCTGGCTTCCCCATTAACTTTGCTTGTAAGAAGGTTGCAAAAGGTGATTGCATGACCCTGGGACACTGCAACCGTCATAAATTTGAGTCAGTTGCCAGTGTTTAAATTTTGATCATGTAACCATAGGGATGCTGCAACAATTGTAAGTGTGAGAAACGGTCATAAGTCACTTTTTTCAGTGTAACTGTGAATGGTCACTAAACAAATGGTTGTAAGATGAGGACTACCTGTACGATGTGGAGGAGCTAAATAAATTGAATTTATTATTGCCTTGAAATCTGACATCTCAAAATATCTGCAGCCCTTGTTTCTCTTGGAGCTACAATATCATTAAAGGATTTTTCCATGATTGGCTTAGAAAGGACCTGTGTTTGTAGGAACCAAAGCTTTCTGTCCCCCATAATATGCCACCTGGAAGAAACATATGCCAATCCTCAATTTCCTTTCCATTACAATTTAAAGGGATTGCAGTCAAACAAAGAGTACTGATCTCATCTTTCTGTTCTGCCTGAATCTGCTCAGACTTCGTCCCTCTGCCTTCCTTCCCAGATTGCTAGGCTGCCTCACTTATTAGAAATAGAAGGAACACGTACCAAAATGGAAACAGAAAAGAACACTTATGGAATTAGACCTCACATGCCCCTTCCCTTTGAGCTGACATTGTACATATTAGCTGAAACCTATGAAATGTTGAAATCCATTGTGGTGAATGACATGAAGGAACAGGAAATTATGAAAAAAATAAAATAAAAAAAATAGACCTTGCTCATATTTAATAGCTCAAGAATTCAGGAGAATTTAAATAGATAGTATAAGAAATGAATACAGCAAAATTGCTTTTGATTGCCAGAGACACATAATTTGGCCCTAATATTAGCAGTTATATTAGGATCTAGTCATATTTCATCAGAATTTTGGAGTTTGAAGAATTTAATCTTGTAATTAAGAAACTGTTAGGCCAGGGGTAGGCAACTATTTATCTGGACTTGCTGTTGGAAAACCTTCATAACCTTACAAGCACTAATAAGCTTAGTAACCACAGTTAGTTTTAACTAACAGTTTTAACCACAGTTTAGTTTTAAGCACATCAGATGCTTCTAGTCAATTTGCTGTGAAGAGTAGTACCATCTACTTCACTTCAATTTAAACTACTTCACTTTCTCCAGTGTTTCCGGGAGAGATTCCTTCCGTGACCCTAGAATATCACTCACTTCAGTGGTGGAATCCAATTTTTTTTACTACTGGTTCTGTGGGCATGGCTTGGTGGGGGTGGTGTGGCTTTGTGGGCATGGCAGAGGAAAGATACTGCAAAATCTACATTCCCACCCCACTCTAGGGGAAGGATACTGCAAAATCCCCATTCCATCCTCACTCCTGGGGGAAAGATATTGCAAAATCTACATTCCCATCCCACTCTGGGGCCAGCCAGAGGTGGCATTTGCCGGTTCTCTGAACTGCTCAAAATTTCCACTACCAGTTCTCAGAACTACTCAACATTTCCGCTACCGGTTCTCCAGAACCTGTCAGAACCTGCTGAATTTCACCCCTGCAAGATACCCATGTGATAAAACTATGTATTTTTCCTGAAAAGGGAAGCTTATGAGTAACTGGAGAAACAAGAGACAATTATGGGAGCATAGCAGAGACTATCATACCGTACTTTGATCTATATTAGCCACTTTAAGGTTGTTTGTATTCAACCAACATCTACCATGATTCTTAATGCAATTCTTCTTAAGAAATAACCCTGCATATGTGAACAATGCCAAGCATTATTGTAATATTGAAAGACACTATTGCAAAGAATTTTACTGCCCATCTTTTCAATAATTCCTTTCTGCTTGAGACTTTTCTGCTAGAGGTATGGTTTATACAAAGCTTGTAAGGCATACACATATTTTATGAAACCAACTTTATCATATCTTGATGACAAAAATTAAGAAAACCTTATAAAAGCTCTACTAAACGTTAACACTCCATGTTGAGTAAAACTTTATGCATATCCTGCTTTTCATCAAATATTTCCATTGGTGAAATAGCAATGTTTCATTATTGTTTCTAAATGTTTCTAAATTTCCTTGTCTAAAATTCACCCACATGCTAGTAGAAATAGAATTGTGTATTTTAATTTTAGTTCCTGAATCCACAGGCATTGCATTCATAACTTGAATTAAAAGGTGTCGCTGTTCATAAAAGCCCATTGCTATTAGGAATTTAGTGTTGTGATTAAAATGTAATGTGAGATTTGTAGAGAACCAAGCTCGTTTTGATCAGGAAATTAACCAGTTCTGTTTCTGTAACGCTTGCTTTATAATGGTAAGGACCAGTGTCATATAATCAGTAGAACCAGAAGTCCATACAGTACAGCTCAACAGACTCTCAGAAATTGGTCCTCAGCAAATAACACAAAAAATGGGGGAACATTTTTTGCATTTGTTGTATAATATAGTGGGATGTTGTGGTAAAGCCATTGAACTAAAATGGATAGATCCGTATTTAGGTCCATCCTCAGCCATGAAAATGTACCAAAGATCTGGAGCTAATCACACCCACTCAGTCCAGTCTAGCTCAATGAGTTATTGTTGTCAGCATAAATTGAGAGAATAGGCCTTTTTCAGCTCCTGGAGAAAAGAAAAGATATAAATCAAACAAGTAAAATAGGTTTATTAAGCTGTGTAATTACTTAAAGCACCCATTCCTCTCCTTAAAGAAAAAAAAAAAGCTGGAAAAGTTCTTAGAGGTTCACTTAGAAGATTCACTGCCTAAATCTTGCCAGCCACTGAAAATTATTCTGCAGTATATCCAACTCACCTTGGTATGAGATGGATCTTGACGTATGTGCATGTGAAGTTCACCTCTTATAGAGCTGTAATTAGGGACTACTGCGCCTGTTGTGGTTTTCCTTCAGCATTAGCAGTTTTTTTTCCTTTGCAAAGAATAAAAACGTTTATATGGATCTTCCAGACCATTTGGGATACACTTTATAGCCACTTATTTTTTTACAGCTTTTAAAAGCGGTCAGATTCATGGAGGACCAGAGTATCGTTGGGTACAAGTCCTCGTGCCTTCATACTATCTTCAGAATCACAGGAGGCCCTTTTTAGATGCCAGTGGAATGCCACTTTGGGAACACCAGTAAAACCTTACAAACACAGAGATAAAAGAGACCAGTGATAATGACTGAAAGATAACATCAACCAGACATCAAAGTTACAAGTAGACATTAAAGCAAGGAACATCTGTGCCTCAATAAATAAGTCTTTTTTATCAGCGTCTGGAAATGGAATTTGTCTTATTCCAAAATAGGATAATTTTATTTGGTCAGAAAGCCTTAACCAGTTCTTGGAATGTTAAATAATCACTACACGTGCGAAATTCTGTTTTTAAAAACAGTCCTTTTAAAGGTTTATATGTATAACAAGCCCACAAGCAGATGTTTTGTTTGTCAGATAAAATGAAATGAAATGATATTTTTATACTTCAGTTTGGAGTTTTCTACAGTTAGCCTTAAAAAGCTATCTGGTAAAACTATTTTGGGGAAGTAATCTGAACCTTCAGAATAATGTGAAAGAATTTAAAACAGGCTTTACCCACTTATTCATCTCCTGTTGCGTGTTATGGTATGTTTGGTGCTATCTTCTGAGCAGCATTGTGGGATCATCCATGTTACAAGAATCTCACCAAACTGACTGCATTCCCTTGGGAACAGTGAGATAAGGCTTCGGGATTCAGGGGGAAGTCAGGCCAGTGTTGCTTTCTGCAGTGCAAGGACTCTAAATTCAGCCCACTCTTAACACCTCCTTCCAATCTAACTGGAGATTTTTTTTCACCACACTACCATTCATAATCTGCTAGGAAGAGAGTTGGAAGATGTTTCAACTATTAAATGGCTGAAGTCCTTCTTATCAGTTGTATTTCCCCCAGGAAAAAAGAGGGAGGAAGACATTTTGCCATTGATCAGATAATGAGTTTTGAGTTTCTCCATCAAACACTCACTTGTATCTTATGTAAAGGAAGTTTGGTGGAAGTTTCTTGGTTTCTGGATTGAGGTGCTTGGCTCCTACTGACTAGCAGTAGACTGGATTTCTAATTATATCAAACTGCAGCATGGCTAGAAAGTCTAGTGAATAACTGATCTCATTGTAGATCTACTGTGGAATTTAAACTCTTTCTACAAAAGAGTTTTTTCCACAAAAAAGTGTATATAGAAATAACTGCTACTTTCTTTAACAAGACTTTTTTGGACTTTCAATGTAGATAACATTTAAGTTTTTCTGAATATTACATGTGTTCTTCTTCCTTGGAGCACTTCCGTTTCTATCGTTAAAATTAACAATATGTAAACTAATAAGGGAGAAAACTGCTTCACTATGGGGGAAATGCATCATTAATGATATAATTTCTAAACTGGAAAATATAATTCTTCAGCTTTCAAAGAACTTTATTTCAGGCTTGCCTATAGGCTACGCAATTCTGCACACAATGTGTTTATATTATTAAACTTTTTTCATTGCCTTAGGTAAGAACTGCACTCTTTTGAAATGCGTCTGATTTTAAAGACTATGAGTAAGACAATAAAGGTTTGCACTACTGTATATAATTTGAGAATTACATGTGAAGAGCATTCTCATTCTCTTTGGTGTAATAATAATATTTGTTTCACCCTAACTCCAGTGCACACAAGACCAAATAGATCTACCATAATGTTTCAAAAGATTGTGTAATAGTTCTTTAGAACATTTTGGATGGATGTGAATTTGTACACAAGCAACATTACATGTTAAATACGGTCCTTCTACTTGTGATAGACCTACTGTACTCTGCATAATTCATGGCTCTAATTGTCTAGCAAAGCTGTTTGTTGGAACTGAGAACCAGATTAACAAATGTACAGCTGCTGATCTTAAGGAAAAGCAAACAAAATAACCCAGCAAGAAAACAGTGGAAACCTTGAAGGCTGAGAATCTTTTGCTTGCTGGAAACTTTTCTCTATTGTTGTACTCAGAAAGGCAAACAGTGTTCACATTGCTTTCTTGATTATCTGGCTTTCCCCAAGTGATGTCAGTGATAGAGTGAGAAGGAAAGCAGCATATTTCACTCTTAGGGTTGTTCACTCAGCCATCTGTTTCCAATAAATAACCAATACATCATCACATTCCTAGCTTGATACAGTGTACCTAATTTATTATGAATGAAAGCTAATTGGTTGGTTAATGCAGGATACCAGCCAACAGTTTTACATGGCTACTGCCTTCAATTAAGTATTTGTTTCAGTAATTAAGATTGCGGGACTCCTGTTGAGTGAGAAATGTAATCTCATGTATTTTAAATGGAGTAGATACTCTGATCAATTTTTCATGTCTGTTGGTGTATTATGTAGATATAATATTTTATTAAATAGATATAAAGTTATAAGAGGACTTTTAGCTTTTTGTTTTTTTATGTCTCGTTCTTCTTGAATTTTGTTTTCTATTTTTTCTTTATCCGGTTTTAAATGTAACTAGTAACTAGCAATTTATGATAGAAATATTTCATATGCAGTGAATTACTCCATTGGTTTAAGATGCTCTGATGTTTATCTAATAATTTCTCTTTAAAATAAAGCTGTAGAGAGTATATATCTCACTTGACTCAAGAGTACTGTAATATTTAATCACCTAAAAGTCTCCATATTCTTTCATTCTCAGAGCTTCATCTTAAATGACTCTTGTTTTCAGATATGGTGGAAAATGTGCCAATCTCTATCTATTTCAACTTCTTACAAGATAATTTGAAAAATGGGGCATATCTCTGTAAATGTATATTCTCTTGCTTTTTTGTGTGACTTAACTATCTGTCTTCAGTTGCTGCTATGATATTGTTCAGCATGAAGCCACATCTGTTTATCTTCTATGGTTTGGCAGATGCAATTAATATAAAATAGCTTGCATTTGCCCTGTCATATATAAACCACTATCATGATGTAGTGGCCAAACAATTGCTATAATGGCCAATGTTTTCTATAACTTTTTAAAATTTATTTTTTTATTGCTTTTTAATTAATAAAAAAGAAAAAGCAGAATACAACAATAATAGTGATGGTACCTCACTATTCAACTATCAGTTGAAGACAGATTGATTTTATTTGCAGGCATCCTTCTTTTGCTTATTTCTAAACCTCACCCAAGTGTTGATGCAAAGGACAGGATTACTCTATAGACTGGTCCCAATCAGAATTGATGCCAACAGGTAAAAAATTGAGTTACCCATCCATTTCAGGAATATCAATTTCATATTTGCACCAAATCAATTAAACATTTAGGTATGTCTATGTCAAAAATATAACTTATTTAGTGACGTAATATAAATAAAAATATAGTTTACTTCTGATATTGAGAGATGGAAATGATTAAACCAAATGCTCTCAAAATGAATATTATTTTCAAATTAATTTATATTCAGTTTATGTATCTGTAAAATATTTTCAAAAAGTAAATTCTTTGTGTAGAAAATTTTCTATGGCATTCCTTGATTCTGAGAATATCTCTATAGAAAATGCAATTCCAATTAATGAGGGGTATTCCAAAGCTATATCATAATATTTTCCTATTGTCAAATATTAAATACTGTAAGCAGGTCTTCTGATATGGACAGCTTTGGAATATACATATTTAGTACCTTTGGTTGGATGGGCAATATTAGGATTTAAATCTACTAAAACTCTAGTATCTCCGGAAACAACCATGTCAGAACTTTATGGAAAGTTAAAAAAAAAAAACTTTTTACCCTTTTTCCCATGCCAAATCGACTTTAAGGGGAAACTCAACGATAAAAGTTGGGGGAAACAGGGGTAGTAAAAGGGTAGATCACGAGCGGAAATTGTTAAATTGGGAGGTATAATAATATTATTATGTTAAATCAGGAGTTATTAGACATTGTTATAATAGAATGTCACTTTGAAATGCATATTATAGCGTAGTATAAGGGGGGTATGATAATTTTATTAGAAAGAAAGGGTTAGTATATGGAGATGGAGTAAGTGGATAGTAAAGCATGATATAATCTGTTATGAATTTGGGTTTTATTATGAAGAAGTCAAAGGGGAAGGGTGGGTGAGGGGGGGTTAGGGAGGAGGGGGGGAAAAAGGGGGAAAAATTTGTATTTGAAAAACTTTTTCAATAAAAAAAAAAAGTTGGGGGAAACATACTGATATGAAAAAATTGGATGGAAACGAAGAGTTTGGATCAACTGATAGATGAAAGATCTAAGGAAGTACCTTTCACCCTGGGTGTTGGGATGTATTATTATAGTGATTTATATAAGGTATATAATAGATTTTATCTCATGGCTAGAATTCAGGCTAGATTTTTTCTCTCAGAACAGCCATAAATATTTAAATTGATCTAATTTTCCTGATTACCAAAGCAAATTAAACTATAGAAACCTGTACGATAATAATGTCATCTGCTTCTGCCAAGACAAAAAGCAATGTTATTGGGTGTACTTGGCTGTAAAAGAAAGGATTTTCTTAGTTTGGAAGATTGGCTCTGCCTCTTTTTCAACCTAGCATTTTCCAAGCATGCTGTGTTACATCTGTCTCCCTTATACAATCTCTAATGAAGCCAGGCAATACCAGAATATTTTTGAAGGATACTGTATTGGCTCTAGACTTGTTTTCCTCAATCTTCAAAATTGGGAAAGACATTTTTTCCCCCATTTCTTTAACTTTACTTAATAGAATGTTTGGCATGTTCAGCACTGATTCATTTATGATATTAACATGTCACATTTCAATGTAGTTTTAATTTGCATACATTATTAAAAATAATTTCTCGTAAGTAATCTGAGATTGGTCAACCGATACATGATATTGTAATTGACTATGTCTAACTACATCAGGGATATTCTCAACTCCAGCCTATTATTTTGAACCTATTAAGTGTTTGGGATTTTAAGGACATATTAAGGGAACTTTCACAAATGGTTTTTATGGTTGTTTTGTCTGTAACAAACATTTGTTAAGTGAATTTTGCCCCATTTTATGACCTTCCTTGCCACAGTTGTTAAGTGAACCACTGCAGTTCATAAGTTGGTAACCCAGTTGTTAAGTGAATCTGGCTTCCCCATTGACTTTGCTTGTCAAAAGTTTGTAAAAGGTGATCACATGACCTTGGGACAAATATGAACCAGTTGCCAAGTATCTGAATTTTGGTCTCATGATCATGGGCGTGCTTCAAATGTTGTAACTATGAAACATGGTCATTAGTCACATTTTTCAGTGCTGTTGT